CAAGTTGTCACTGAATAAATGTGTTAATATAAAATCAATTTTACCTTAATAACTTACACTTTCACGTTTCATTTTTAGCATTCAGCGTTCACAGTTTAATTAACCATATGTAACAGTTTTTGCTGAAATCAATTCTGCAATCAAAAACGAGTAATGTGTATGATTCAGCATAGCGTGAACTTACCTAAAATAACGTGAGAACTGAGTTTAGAATTTCTAATTAGGTCGTCACTTCATTCAGGTCCCTTTTAGCCAAAAACGTCTGCAGTTGGTATAAAAGCAGAGTGGTGTATGGTAAAAGTTAAGTTTTCTATAAGTTTTCTTTATTTGGCATCCTACCACACAACACAACATGTTTACTATTGCAGCCTGTCTTTTTTTGCAACCAGGGACCCGTGTGATGTCATATGTGACGTAGGTTGGTAATTGGTCTATACAAATCTGAATAAAAAGCTTCTGCTCCTGATTTCCTTGGGCTCTTTAATTTCCATTCCATGTTCGGATAGCAAACAATTCATATTTCTATTTAGGCAATTTTTTTTCAAGTCCAAAGGAAAAAATGTTTGGATCATTTTTCAGAGTGACACTCTAAAACCTCGATCTTACCAGAGCACCATGTGCCTTAATAGTCTGCAAATTGTCTATGCCGTTCTTTCCATTTTTTTAAAACTTTAAAGTTCTTGTTCATTTTTGGATCCTCTCTAGCTCTGCCAGAGATGTCTATTGATAAATTGAGGGTGTATATATGGCACAGTTGCTCCATATTTTCTATTATCACACAACTTAGAACTTGAACTTAGTAGAGAACAAAAGATGATTTTCAATTTTTTTAAATTTTGCTTCACAAAAATGATCTTGTATTAACTATTAAAATGCTAACAAACACTTCTTGGTTTGACATTATAAACAAAAATGATAAAGCTGACCAAACCATGATCTAAAAAATCTACTAGTGATATTGTGTATCCCTTAAAAATGTTAAAATGGCGTTTTAAAACAAATCAACCTGTCAAGTCTTGCCATTGTTACATGATATTCTCTAACTAATGTCCAAATATACTTTCTCTGTGTTTAATATAACAACTTACAAATATAATGCAAATCATGTTTTTTTTTAAATATAATTTGTTGTAAAACACGCTGTGATCCTATATGAGGTTATTTGATTGCTAATAAAATTATTTTTGTAATATTAAATTCATCCGCCAAAAAACAGAAACTCTCCAGGTTTGCAATTCTCTACCACATCTCTATTAAAAAAAAAGAAAAAATTTCAATTGCCAAAAGTGGAGTATACAATTTTATAAACACATTAAAATGTTCAAATTTGACATTGGGCTTCATTCAACATACAGGGGTTGGACAATGAAACTGAAACACTGACCAATTTAGTGTTGGAGGTTTCATTGCTATTTGAGTAGCCCAGTGGCAATCTTCGTTAATTACACATTCTACCAGTAAGAACAGTGTATGCAGGTTTGATTTACAGTAATAGCGCAATAGCTTAAAATGTTGCAATGCACACAAAAGTTTGGGTGACATATCAGAGATTAAAAGAGGACAAATTGTTGGTATGCATCTCAATGTTGCATATAGGTGACTAAGACATTAAGTATTTGTGATGTATCAAGAGCCACAGTATCCACAGTACCACCATTAGCTTGCCATCAAGTTGGACAAACCACATCCAACAGGAGTAACTGTAGACGCAACAGGAAATTCCCTCAAATTTCCTCAACCTGTACACTTTTTCACTTTCTGTCAGGGAAGAAATCTTCTACCTCAATTCCTTTGTATTTCACAGGAAAGTCTTAATTTTATCAAGAGTATAAACATTTAGAGCTTACTGACTCATTCTCACTTTCTGTCATGGAATCACCAGAAACATCAAAGTCAAATATCTCTCCATGATCCACGTTTTTGTTATCTGCTTTTCCTGAACTGACACCCCCCCACTCTTTATTTTTTTTCTTTTCCCCATAGTTTACCTTTTCAATGTCAGTGTTTTACCCCCACAACACTACGAACATTATTCACTTCTTACTGTGACATTAGCCACATATTAACATAATCAGTGTGCAGTGTGCCTGTGTATATCAAACTATTCATGAACATTTACTGTTTTATGCTTTGCCAGCAGTAGGCTGTTACCAACAGTATACATTTTATCAATTGGTAATATTTTAGGTTAAGATCTTCTATGTGCATGTGTTCATATAGCTGTATGATAATATTTTCCATAACTGCTGTATTTAACCTGAAACTTACATATGTGGATTGCAAAGCAGGCTTACTGTAGTTAGTTTTGGTTGCACACTTGAGGAAGTTACTGTTTGAGTCACTTGCTTTCTTTCTGATCGTTTGCATAATTTCCATTAACATATACACCTGAAGTGTTGTGTTGCCTTATATGGCTAAACAAGGTGCTATATAAATAAAACGGTAGCTATGTTTCCATCCAAATGCAGATCCCACTTGAAACTGGAATATCCCATAAAACATTTGCGAATGCAGCATCTTTTGCACCCAAGAGCCATAGGTCGGCACAAGTTTCTGATGATATGATAACCTTGGATAAAAATATCACGGTTTCATGGTATTGTGCTTACTGATGTAAAATAATTTCTCTTTAGATGTCTTAGTAAAAAAACAAAAACCTTTTTCCCATTTAACACAATATATTAGATTTTAGGAAACATTTTGAATATTTTGGAATAGTAAACATGTCAGGATACATATTTAAAATAAATATATTATTGACTGCTCACTTCATTTGCTTCAAAACATAGATTACCTTTCAAGACACAAAAAAAAAACACTTAAAAAACATATACCTTAGAAACAGCTTAACAAAACATTTTTGTGGTTTTAATACTTTGAATTTTCTAAACCATGATAAACCTTGAAACCGCTTATCTTCCCGTGCCTAGCATCCAATGATGCCACTATAGGCCTTTTCTTTATTAATAATGACTTGCACCTCAGAAAATTAGGATGAAATACAATGGACGTACAGTGGCTTTTGGAGGTGTGAGATGTTTTCTGTGAGCACAGCTTCAAGACTGTGGGTTCTGGGAGCTAATAATTCCGAACTACTTTGATGACGGACTTTGATGGAGGTATTTTAGAATGACCAAAACAATATTTCTGATATTTTACAATGTGGTCTGTTTGCTGTCCATTAATGTCATCCTATTGTGCCCATTTTTTTATCACACGGTCTGTTAAAACAAAATCAACTACATTTTTGATGCGCATGCTTGGATTTATTCAGTAAATGGGATTCCATTTTTTTTATGTACATTTTTATTTGTAAAAAGTTTGTCCTACTCAGTTGTGTGCAAGTTTTTTGCATACATGTTTGTATGTACATCTTTGTGTTTCTCTGAAGCATTTTTCATGTGCTTTTCCATAATGTGCGTAAAAATAGGTACAGTAGATAGAAACATAGCTAATGACACACATCTCCCATGTATTAATAATTTGATTCTGAGATTGATTTAAGGAATTTTGTCAGACTCCATTCCACACTCTCAGACAAAAAGTTACACAGTGGTACAAAAAATGTTCCTTAAGGAACAGTTTTGTACCTTTGTAAAAACTTTTACCTTTTGTAGTACAGAAAAGACTTTTTTATTCTTAGATGTAAATTATAAATTAAAAAAAGAAACCTTTTTTGTAAACTGAAACATTGTTTAAAAATGTGCTTGATGTTTCATATTTAATGAAAATAAATAGATATACACCTTTAAAATCTTCTTGAAGGAACACATTTGACTGTTAAGGTACACTTTCGTAACTTCTTTGGTACAAGACGGCCAAAACCCTGCACAATTTAACTTTAGACTTTTACTTAAACTATCAAATTAATGAAGTTCTTCTGCCTTTTTTTTTTAAACCTACAGGTAAGTGTGTCGATGCAGGGTTGTAACTAAACATCTCAGTTTGGCATCTATATTAAACTAAACTTCACAAGTGACATTTGTAACAAACTGACCTTAATTTAGCTAGAACTACACCAGCATTTCACCACTATCTCCTGCCAGTCTGATATGTTGGATCATTCCACAACAGTCTGAAATATTGTTATTGATATTCTTCAAGCTTTTCTTCCTTACACAATCTATTTTGTAAAGCACTATAGAGATAATTATGACTTGACTTGACCATGGATGTAGTAGATATGTGTATCAGGGATTCATGTGGAGTGTTTGGTTAAATCAAAGTTGGTATTGGTTTCCAGTCAGGGAAAAGAAAAGGGGCAGGAGCACAGACAGCTGCAGAGTAGTAGAGGAAATAGTGCTGTGAGTGTGCTGGAAAAACCCACAGATTTTCCTTACTAACTTACATCTGCTGTCTATCTGTCATTTCAATTCAAGTCAGTTCATCTATATTTCAATGTAGATTATGTCAAAGCAACACAACATAGATGAAGTTTTGAAGAAACTAGAAAAAACTTGATCACAGCAGTTCTTCTAAATGAATGACATTGATCCAATTAGAACTGATCAATTCATGTGGTGAAATTATATCGCAGTTGAGTTCAAAGTAAATATAATAAATATAAATATAATAATAATATAAAATAAATATGATATTAATAATAATATCAATAATAATAATAATATATATATATATAGTCACTTTATTAATCTGGGGTAGCCACAGCGAAATGAACCGCCAACTTTTCTAGCACATGCAACCGGCAACCGGAGCACAGCTTATGAACCAAGAAGAGACTAAAAAATTGTTTGTTGCCTATCTGGAGAAAAGGGCCTTAAAAGTCAGTGTCAAGTTCCTCTTATGACAGATGTTTAACCCTAAAAGCTAAATAAGAAAAGTGTTGTAAGTTTGGACAAGCTGCTTATATTCTGTGTCTGTTCAGATTTAAAGTTCAGTGTATCATATTTTCTAAAACCCACATGTAATAGTTCAGTTCAGTTAAAAAGGTAACTTTGTAACGCAGTAACAACTTCCTTTTCTCACTCTCTCCTCTTTAGAAATGGAAGAAGAACTGGTTCGTACTCTACCCAGCCAGTCAAAATGGTATTGCACGACTTGAGTTTTATGATTGCTCAGGTAGTGCCAGTGATAAACCTAGCACAAAGAAAATGGACAAGAAGATCATACGGCTGTCAGAATGCATCAGCATACTTCCTGCTGTCACTGAAAGCTGCCCCAAAGAAACCATGGCTGCCTTTTGTGTGGAGACCAATGAAAAGACGTTTGTCTTTGCGGCTGAAAAAAATGTTACCAATGATTGGGTGGAGAAGATGTGTGAGATTACTTTTCAGGTGAGATGACATTTTGCACTCTTAAACAGATATGTAAATAAAAACCTATGGTAACAATGTCTTTTTTTTTTTTAAACACACCTGTGTGTCTAGTTAAGGACAGCACATTTTGTTATTTTGAACTCAACCTGTGTGTAATTATTTTAAACACAGGCAACTTGTTCAATTATTTAACATACTGTGATAATGTGTCACACAGTTTGTATAATAAATGTAAAAAAATTAACACCTTAACAATATTAATGCAGTATAAAAACAATACTTATCAAAACATGAATGCAGCAGTACATTTATTCTAAATAATTACCATAAAGACAAAAAGATAAGCAAAGTCATGGGAAAAGCCACAAAAAACAAACATACAAACAAACAAACAAACAAACAAACAAACAAACAAACAAACAAACAAACAAACAAACAAACAAAAAACTCAAACCCTTAACAAGAATGGCAAAACTACAAACTGTTTGCACTGATAACTGTCAGATTCCTTTGTAGAAGTTTAGCTATTTTTACTGCTTAAACTAAATGTTAGTTGATGGTTTTAAATATTACAAAGCTTACTAACTTACTAACGTTTTAAAAAATTCATAACGAACAATGATACTATCACAAGTTGCTATTGCTGTCTCTTGCTGTTTCCTGTTTCTCCCTTGCCGAGTGTAGCTCGCCTGCTCTTCTTAGCTTGCCTAAATTCAGTTTTTATTTATTTTAAATTTGATAACTATTCGTCACAATCAAATTAAAAACTATATATATATATATATATATATATATATATATATATATATATATATATATATATATATATATATATATATATATATACAGTTGAAACCAAAAGATTCCATACACTGTATAAAAAGGCACATAGCCATTAAAAAATGTCAAATGTTGATGTGAAGGTAAGTTAGGATTATCAAATTTGTTTCTGTTATTCTGCAGAATAATGAGAGAGAGATTTTTTTGAAAAATATTTAGAACTTTTCATGAAAGTCAAGTTTACATACAATAAGATTATAATGCCTCTGAAAAAACTCAGATGATGGTGTCCAGGTTTTGGAAGTTTCTGATTGTCTAATTGACAACATTTGAGTTAATTGGAGGCACAACTGTAGAATAGTATTTAAGGAAAACCTCAAACACTCGTGCTTCCTTGTGTGACCACATGGTAAAACTAACAAGCCAGAATCAACAAAAAAAGCCAGGTTACAATTTGCTAAATTACACTGGGAAAAAGAATAATTTTTGGAGACATGTCCTGAGGTCTGATATAACTAAGACTTAACTGTTTGGCCATAATGACAAGTGTTACAAAGGGGAAAGCTTACAAGCCTAGGAACACCATCCCAACTGGGAAGTATGGGGGTGGCAGCATCATGTTGTGGGGCTGTTTTGCTCAGGGACTGGTCCACTTCACAGCATATATGGCATCATGAAGAAAGAACAATATGTAGAAATACTGAAGCAACATTTCAAGACATCAGCCAGGAAATTAAAACTTGGCCTCAAATGGGTCTGACCCTTAGCATACTGCCAAGTTAGTTAAAATGTGCTTCATGGACAACAGAGTGAATGTTTTGGAGTGTCCATCACAAAGCCCTGACCTCAATCCTATAGAAAATTTGTGGGCAGAGTTGAAAAAGCTTTTGCGAGCAAGACGGCTTATAAATCTGACTCGGTTACACCAATTCTGTCAGGAGGAATGGGCCAGAATTCCTTCAAACTATTGTGAAAAGCTTGTAGAAGGATACCCAAAACATTTGACCAAAGTTATACAGTTTAAAAGCAGAGCTAAAAAAATACTAAGGAAATGTATGTACTTTTGACTGTCAAAAATTAACAATAAAAAAAATTCTCTTATTATTCTGGCATTTAGCAAATGTAAATCATTAAGGTAATCCTAACGGACCTAAAATAGTAAACGTTTAGTATGATTTACCATCAGACATTTTAAAAAAAAATGGTTATGTTCCTTTTTTAAGAGGGTATGTAAAATTCTGGTTTCAACTTTATGTATATATATATATATATATATATATATATATATATATATATATATATATACACACATACATACACACACACACACGCACACTATTAAATTTGTGAATAACTGTTGTGTTGCTGGTTTCTGTAAACTAATTGACTGGTGTTATAACCTTTTTAGTCAAGGTGTTTTTTGTTTATTACATTTACAACTTCTAAAGAAATGAATATAGTTGTTACTATATTTACGTTGCTTTGTCTTTATTGCTTCAAGGGAGGAAGTGGTTCACTTGGTAGTTCTGACTCAAATGGACAGCAGGAGCTTCAAATGGCAGAAAATCTCATTTATTACTCCAGGGAAGAAGGTAAGAAGCAACAGCGTGGCACAGTATGAATTTACAATACTCTGCTATAAACCATGTGAGCTAGCATTTAGTTTTTCGATTTTTTTTTTCTATTTCAGCTAAACAGCTGTGTATTTACATAATGTGCAAAGAGTTTCTAAAAAAATATACACATGACATCGTCTCCACTGTTAATTTGTCAAAGACTTTTTGTTGCTACATGTAAGTTAAAGTGTCGTCTACACCACCAAAACTGCTCTGAGATCAGAGGCATATTCTGTTTCATGCAAATGAGCGGCATGCAAATTTCCTTCTGACGTTAGTTGCTAAGCCTGGAATATTAGAGCTTTTGAACGTGTTGGTCATGTTACACTCATTTCATTTAAACTGTGAAAGATGGAAAGAGCTAATTAGACAGAAGGCAAAGCCGAATATCAGGCATGCCCCACCCCTTTCATGACTGGCAGTTTTTATGCAAGGTAAACAGTCAAGGAGTAACTTTTAAGTCCAGTCAGTTCACATACTGACTCTTGCTCCTGCCATGATTCTCCAGTGTTTCTAGGGAAATAGTTTGTGATCACTTCTGTTTTTACTATGGGCAGAACTGACTTCCTCAAAGAGTGTAAGAAGTGACATTTAAAAGGTTTGAAACGGTACAGTCTTGGCACGCTGACTCAACTGTATCTTTTATTTAGGTTTTTGCTCAAGTATGAATGTGGGCTTCAGATTTTAGTTGAAAGCCAATCTAGAGATACTCAAGACAATGAACATCGATTAGGGGAATGCATTTTATGTATGTTATCAGTTTGCAGGGAACATTTAGAAAGTAGGTCAAGCATCACTTGTGGCCTGCTTTCTTTGATAAGCAAAATCATGTCTGTGGTGAACTTAGTAGAGAAATAGCACATACAAAACTGAAATGATAAACATCATTGTTGTATTTTTTTATACTGTATTATTCGTTTGTCCTATGTGATTTTTAAAAAGTACAGTGTTGGTCAATTTCCTGAAATTTTAAAAAAAGCACTTTCAGTTTTAGTCAGATGCTGCAGAACTTATTCTCATAGTCTTGTCAATACACAGAATCATTATAAATTGTACAATTTTAATGTTGATTTAAAGGAATACTGGATGACAAAATAATGTAAAAAAATGTATAGCTACTATAATTGTATCAAAAGCTCATTGTCTGCAAAGAGTATTGAATATTGTATGTAAACTTTACTATTAAAACTTTAACTCTGAACTGTTACTGTGTATTAACTTTAACATCACGATAATATACCTTTTTAGCATAATGTGATCATTCACAATAGGCACATCACGAGTATACACAATGTTGAGCTTGGATTATAATTTAGTATTTCGTAAGTGTTTTTGAGGCCTGTGACTGAGGATTTTAAAAGCAATCAGGCATAAGAAGTTTTACCGTTTGAAACTTTGACAATAATATGTGTGTGTGCTTGCTGCTTCATGTGTACACATGTCAGAGCTTGAAGGTAAACAAACAATGGTTTATCATAAGCATTTTATCGATAATTATTTACACAGTTGGTCTTAAGAAGGAACATAGAAACGTTATCTGACAAACATCTAGTGGCTAAATGTGTCTGGAAAAATATTCAAAGGCTTTTATTGTCATAAACCGTGCAGATGTAAAAGCATCTGAGTGTTCTGATTGGCTAAAGTAGACGTCTCATGTCAGCGCATTCTAGACATGAACGCGCTCTTTCTGGCAAACTTCCGTCTGCGTTCACACAGCGCAGCATTCCAGCAAATTCCGGAAAAAAAAAAACAACTTCTCTTACCGGAAAATTGCCGGAACAAATTTACCAGAATTTTTGAAAAGGGCCTGTTCACACATACAGACCTTTCCAGAGAGTTGCCGTTAATTTTTCTGAACGGTCTGTATGTGTGAAAGGGGCTTATGGGTATGTATAAAGAGTGTACAATATACAATATATAAAAGTACATTTGACATAGATTTTTGTCATTGCTCCATGTAGAAAATACATGACCAATGCTGGCTAGATTACCAAGTTATTGTAGTCCATTTGAAATGACAGAACTTGTTTATTCCGTAGGTTTTAACATGTTAGCAGTGTAACTGCAAAGTATATTTGAATCAAAATGAAAAACTTGAACAAAGTTGATTCAATATTTGACTTGTTTAACAGTCTAATGAGACCACCAGCATTCACTGTTCTTAAACATTCACTGTCCTCAGTGAACTGTGCAAATATGCCGTTAAATGACCTACAAATTTACTTTTTACAAACTAAGTTCTATAAACAGCCATTCATAAAGATGAAAGAGACATTTTATAGCTCTCAGGGTTTTTAAAACATTTTCCGCAAGCATTTTTAGAATCTATAAATAGTGAATGCCACAAGACCTAATGAACACATATTATTTTACCATAAATTAACTTTAAATCTTAAATTTTTCCAGAAAACATGTCATCATTTACAACCCAGTACTGTATCGCACTTGCGATTAAATCTGAACTAAATCTGAAAAAAAAAAAAAAAATAAATATATATATAATCATATTAACACACACTCCTAACTTGAATCTGTTCTGTTTTGCAGTTAATGAATTTTTGGTGACTGTTCAAAGGACTGAAGCATCAGAGCGCTGTGGTCTGTCTGGTAACTACTGGCTCAGGGCTAACATGGACAACCTTATCTTGAAGGATCCCAAGACTAAAAAGGATTTACTTATATGGCCCTACAAGCTTCTCCGTCGCTATGGAAGAGACAGAGTGAGTTTTATTGTCAGATTTTGAAGTGCATAGTGAGATTTCAAACCAACATGAAATCAGTGTGGAGTGCTAAAAAATTGAATGCATGCCGTTTAATGCAACTGAATCTCTTCTGTTGGAGCATAATAGGATATCTTCAACATTCATTACAGAACATTTTACATGCAGAGCACTTATGACACCCACACATTAGCATTTTTTTGTGTCTAAAATAATTGAATGGCTGTTTGCATTAAGCCTTCATTGTTGAAGACAGCTGACCTCACACTACAGATGACTTCAAAAGCAGGAACTGTTGTTTCCTTTCATTACTATAGAAACTGCTTTGCTACAGGAAGCTGGCCTTCCTCTCTCCCTTATGAGTAGGCGGAAGGCAGAGCTAATGCAGTGAATGACGGCTGAATACAGGTCATGATGGTTTGAAATCATTATAAACCCAGTGTCCTGGGTCCATATAGTGTCGGATAATTCATTAAATATAGTTTTCGTGTAGTTTGCTGCTAGACTACTTGTACTTTTGAATGTGTTTTATTCACTTTACGTTTTACAGGTATATTATCCATCTTTAAATGTCACACATTCATAAAAAAGTCATATTTCCATTTCGTTATGAGAGGTCAATGAGTACAATATCATAAAAATCAACAATTCTGAAAATGTATTGCTCTGAAATAACTGCTGTAATTCTGCTTAGACGCATCGATTTTGATTTTAGTTTTGTCTGTAATGTTACATTGTTAGAATATCATGTGACCTGAACCCAGGGTTCATACAATTATGAAAAACCTGGAAAAGTCATGGAATTTTGACATGGCATTTTCCAGGCCTGGAAAAGTTTTGGAAAAACAGAAAAACCCACAAAGTTTTGGAAAAGTCATGGAAAACAGATATCTGTATACTTGAATATAGTTAGCTGTCTTGACTTCTATTCTGTCCTTGGCCAATCACATACTCACATTATCAGTGCGGTGTAAGCATTAGGCATGAGACGATAACGGTGTTCAAGGTATACCGCGGTTTGGAAAAGTCAAGGTTTTAAAACCGACAAAATTTTCTGTAATACCACTTCTAAGGTATGAGTAAAAGTTTTTAAGGAAAACAGTATCTTCAGCAGAAAAAGATATCCAAAGATGTCGTTTTAAATAAATAAAAAAAAATTATTGAATATATTTTAGGACTGTAATCTTAATACCGTTAAATTTATATCCAAGGTTATCATACCGTCAGAATCCTATACCTACCCATGCCTAGTAAGCATTATCTTAATAAATTTGACATAAATAAAACGTGTAAATATAAATTTGGAATCACAGTGGTGCAGTGTGTAGCACAATCGCCTCACAGCAAGAAGGTCGCGGTTTCGAGCCTCGGCTGGTCAGTTCGCATTTTTGTGTGGAGTTTGCATGTTCTCACCGTGTTCGAGTGAGTTTCCTCCGGGTGCTCCAGTTTCCCCCACATTTGCAAAAACATGTGCTATAGGTGAATTGGGTTGGCTAAATAGTCCATAGTGTTGTGTGTGAATGATTGTTTATGGATGTTTCCCAGTGATGAGTTGCAGCTGGAACGGCATCCGCTGCATAAAACATATGCTGGATAAGTTGGCATTTTTTCTGCTGTGGTGACCCCAGATTAATAAAGGGACTAAGACGAAAAGAAATTAATGAATGAAATATATATTTAAAATAAACAGATTGTTGCGTGTTTTACGAAATGCTGTAATAAATTTGAACACGCAGTTTTTCTTTTGCTACATACAGTATTTGTAGACATTGCATAAAACATTAGGCTTACTTGAAATTTACTTGAAAGTCTTGAAAAATTCATGGAGTATTAGAAGTAAAAATGTGTATGAACCCTGTGAACCCTTTTTTATGTTTCCAACAATGTCAAACTGCATGGCCACATTCACTATAGTTCTTTTCATAGCCTTTAATACGAACATTTATCTATTTATTTTCCTGCGGCTTAGTCTCTATTTCAGAGGTCGACACAGCGAAATGAACCGCCAACTATTCCGGCATATGTTTTATGCAGAGGATGGCCTTCTAGTTGCAATCCAGTACTGGGAAACACTAATACACTGTCATTCACACACACACACACACTCATAAATTACAGCCATTTTAGTTTATTGAATTTATGTGTTTGGACTGTGAGGGAAACCGGTGCACACAGAAGAAACCCATATCAACAGGGGGAGAACATGCAAAATCCATACAGAAACGCCAACCGACCCGGCCAGGACTCGAACCAGTGACCTTCTTGCTGTGAGGTGACAGTGCTAACCACTGAGCCACTGTTATTTGTTATAGGCTTGGGCGGTTAAATTTTTAAACCGTCAAACCTCCTCCCTATTTTACCTCGGTATCCGGTATTACTGTGCATAATTAAAAAAATTATGACGTAAGGCTCAGACAGCATCACCAAACTGTTGGCTTGTGTCTAAACTATTCAGAAACAAAACACCATATATGCGACCTTAGGTTTGCGGTCACCTGTTTGTCTTTCGCTCTCTCTCATTCACACAAGCATGCACGCACACATGGAGAGAGAGAGAGAGATGCCCAGTAGCACGCTCTCTCTCTCTCATTCACATACACACACATAGAGATCACCAAGCAACACGCAGCATCAAGCTCTCTCTCATTTACACACACACAAACAGCATCCACGTCGATGCGCGCGTGCTCGGGAGCGATATTGTAAGACTGCGCACCCGCTCCCTTTCCAATTACACCAGATTTACCGACCGTTCCTGCAGTACTGCAGCAGGAATGCAGACCTCTAGTTTGTATTTACCACTTCTCTCTTCTCGTTCGGTCAAAACCGGACATACTGCCAAACTGCTGGTCACTTGTTGAGCGACTCGCCATCTTACCTCACCTCTCTCTCTCTCTCTCTCCTCCACACTGTCCCGTGATGACAATTACGCATACGCATTTGTTGGCATTAAGTAAATAATATTTATAATTTCATACTTGTCTCCTATTTTAGTGCATTATTTTTATGATGATATAACAGTATTGAAACTGACTCCGTTGCTATTTTTAGATTCCGTGGTATACCATATTACCGGCCAAGCCTAATTTGTAATTACCAACATTGGGCAGGATGTTTTTTTTATTCAAATATAAATATACTATTTGATGTATGTCCCAAATAAAGGTTTATTTCACACAAAAATTAATATTTAAAAGAAGATATTTTGAGAAAAGCTGAAAACCTTTAACTGCTGACTTCCATAATAGGAAAAACAAATACTTTACAAGTCAATGGTAACAGGTTTCCAACTTTTAAAAAAAATATCTCCTTTTGTGTTTAACAGAAGAAAAAATCTCAAATGTTTGAAACAAGGGTGAGTAAACCTTTTTTTTTTTGCGTGAACTGTCCCTTTAAGTCACAAAGACAGGTTTGATTTTATTTATGTTGAGTGAAAAAATTCAAGAAATGTCAAAAACAAATTGTCGCATTTCTTAAATGTTCTGCAGGTTATGTTCTCCTTTGAAGCCGGTCGACGCTGTGAATCTGGCCCAGGGAACTTCACTTTTGAGACAAAGCAGGGAAACGAGATATTCCACATTGTTGAGGAATCCATTCGTGAGCAGAAAGCCCAAGCTGAAGAACGACACCAAAGCTGTCCATCATTAGACTCTGACTGCCCAGCTCTCCAGCAAATTCGTGCTGCCATCTCAGAAGCAAACAGTCGTGAACCAGATGGAGATTCTGGTGGTAGCAAGCCTGGGTCCGCAGATGGTGTCTTTGGTCGTAAGGAGAACGATGGGAAAAATTTAAAGGTCCGAAGCCTTCCAGAGCCACCACCCCCAGTTGGTGGAACCCCACCTCGTTCTCCCATGCCTCATGGCTCCAAAAATCAGTTAGATGAGCAAGCCAGTCTGTATTCAGAGCCTGCTGACTCGGTGCGTGCACCACCAAGTCTAGGAGACTGTTTGTACTCAGACCCGGTGGACAGTATCAAAGTCATGCCCCTTCCGAACTCCCGCATCAGACCGGCTGGTGAGGAGGGGGGAAGCCACAACCAAAGCATGAAGCCTGATCCTTTCTACTCAGACATCTATGATCAGATCAGTCTGGACTTGATTCAGAAAACAATGGCATTGGGACTGGATGGGCGGAGCAGGCACCCAGCAGATGGTGGTCCAACAGAACACATCTACGATGAACCAGAGGGACGAGCTGGATCTTCACAGCCCGTTATCACGCTTTATGATGAAGCACGTTTGGATGCGCATTCCTGGAGAAACAGGGCAAGGGAGGAGTCTCAATGTCAAGAGATGGCCCAACAGCCATTGCCAATGGCCAGACCAAAAGGCCCAAAACCTGTCACAGCACCCAAACCAGGCAAAGTATCACTGGGCAAAAAAGAGCCTCCACCGCCGCCTCAGATTAAAGGCAGTGCTAACCTGAACAACAATAACAGTAGCAAAAGATACGATAACATGGAAGCTGGTAGAAGAGATGCTGGTGCAGGAAACAACATGGAGCTTTACAGTAAAGTATCTAGACATCAACCACCATCAAATGTGTGGCATCCTAGCATGCAGTCTCCAGACATCATCTATGACAACTTAGGTGACATTTGACATTTAGGCAGCACGGTCTGCTTTTCCTTAGCCCTTAGAAAGCTGTGGATGAAGGACATGCATCTCATGGTTAAAAAGGGAAGTCCCAGTGTGTGCGAATGAAACTGTAGTCACTGACTGTCAAAATGAATGAGAGCTAAGATTATAGTGTTTGTGCTCTCCAAAAGGGCTTGTGCTACAGTTTGCACTTCTTGGGCAAAGCAGGCCTGTAAATCTGCGTCTTTGCCTTTCATATCAGAAGAGATTTTAAAGCACTTGTCGAAACACTCGGTTCTCCTGCTTGGGCCGTTTTGAATGTTGTTGAATGAACATTATCTGACAAATCCAGTTTAAAGGTCGAAGTGCAGAGAAAAAGGTCAGTTATTGCACATACAAGGAGATTGTAGTAAATGTATACTAATCTACTGCTGTGTGCGTGTGTTTTATATGTACGTGAGTAAATCAGCAGCTGTGCTGTTGTTTAACATTATGATAATTAAAAACACAGTAGCAGAACACACTTGTTATCCTTGCTTATATTACTGGCATAAGCACAGAATCCATAAAAAGGGAGCATGAAATCACCCTTTTTTCTCCAGTGTTTGCTAGATCTGAAAAGCATCTGACATCTGAGGGATAATCCTGATGCAAAGTGAATATTAAGCATCTGTGTAAAACAGTGGCCTTACTTCAGATGGGAGTTAAATGTTGGCTGAGTATGTGTCTGCCTGGCAGCGTGTGAAGGAACAGACTGTTCTCTGTCCTGTTTTCTTTCTCGTTCGCACTCTCACTCATTTCCTTTTGTCCTCTCTCCAGTCTTTTCTTCCACTTTTTTCTCGAGTGGACCGCCACATCTGATCTATTCATCACATTCTGGTATATTTTTTCAACATTTAGTGCTCTTAAGCAGAAAAGCAGTAGCTTTGTTGAGTCATTCATCTTGAAAGAACGCATTCATTTGGTCCAAGGTTTGGCTTGCTTAAAAAAAGAAAACTAAAACAAAAAAAAAACATTCTACCATCACTAAGTGGGAAAATTTAGCAAAAAAGTTTGGAAAAGGAAGTGGATGGCAACTCTTTTCCTTTATCATCATTTATTAAATTTTCAGAAAGTCTTTTGAATGACTTGTTGATGGATATATTACAAACACACTGAGTAAATATTGGAGACAAGACATTTTCGATGTGAACTTGGGTCATTGTACTGCATGCAGATGCTTTCTATTTAGAGATCCACGTTACCACTTATGCTTTAAATAGTACATGGGTGTTAAAGAGGTTTCCATTTTGGCAAAATGGTGTACACTGGTTCAGTTTGGATGCACTTGTCATGCTGTACTAGTTCCTGTTTTCTTGGATGTTCCGTTTATGTTGTCATTCCATTGGCCACTTGATGCTTGTATAACCAAACAGAAAACAGAACTAAGCTGTTGTTCTCTGAAGTGTGAAGCAAATGATGGGAAGTATGTTTGTTACTAAAAAATCTGTTACATCTTTCAAACAAAATAAATTCAAAATGATTTCAGTTTTTGAAATAAAATCTGCACAGTACTTAAAGTGTACATCAGTGGATGATTTCTATATTAATTGGCAAATGTGTGTTCCCCCCACTATCCAAAAACATGCAACTTTAGTTAATTGACTAATCCAAATCGGCACCATATACATGCTCCTAGTAAGTAATCTCTTAAGAGCACTCACTATCTGTTCATTAGCTACTACAGCAGGGAAATTCTCGAGATCTACCTGAGCTCAAACTCCCCTATCACCTTGCAACGGGTGGGAGCCTCGGGTTAGAGGATTTTATGAGCTCAGGGCTCTCTCCCGGGACAGCATGCCAAACAAGCTTTATAATTAATCATCAGCTAAGTGTGAACTCTTGAAACGACGTTTGTCATAAGCTTGCATAAAACACTCCATTCAAGTAAAGTGTTACCAAATCATTTAAAAACATTTATAGAAGTAATACCAATTTGCTATTTATAGCCAAATGCTAATGTAAACAACACCTTGTTTATAAAGATTCATTTTTTATTATTATATAATGTGTAGCTTTACGAAAAAAATACTGGAAGTACAAAATTGGAAAAATATAAATAATTCCAAAACTTTTAAACAGTACAGAACAACTTTTGTAACCAGTAAGAGAACTGTTTCATTTATTAAAGTCAATTATTTATTGATTTGTATTTTCAACAATGTTGTAAAAAGCTGAACTTGATCTTGACCCAAACGTCTCACACTTAAAACGTTAGCAAGTAGAGGAAAATGTAGTTTGTAAAACAATTAAACACTCTTTTCTAACTACAGAACAAGACTGTAAACATAAAATCTGAAAAAATGGGACAATGCGAGATCCTCTCTCCATGTCTGCTGTTTGTGCTGTTTACACAAATGAAACCTCACCATGACGTCACAAAGACGAGATGTAGGCGGTACCAGGTGGGTGGAATGGCAGAAAGCTTAATGAGGCAATACTAGTAAGAGAGGACCATTGAGTAATATTTCAGCTCTGACATCAGCCTGCTTTCAGAACCATTTCCCTCAGCTCCCACAAATTTTAACCAGTGCCTCCAAAGCTGAACCTTGTTCCTCAAGGTCATGAGGCTACACAGAGTGACCGCTTTCTTTCTTTTTCCTTCACTTCGCTCTCTGTAACTCATCGAAGGCCTCAAATTCCTGTTCAGCTGAGCACAGTGTGCCTCCCTTGTGGCTGTACTGGATGATTCCATAAAGGAAGACAATGACTCTACTTTTCCTCTACTCTGGCCTTCGTCCTCCTCAACTCTCTGCAGAGACTTCTAGCCACAGCATTTACACTGAAAAGGCAGTTTGCTCTCCTTCTTATTGTCATTTAAAAAGTCTGTGGTTTAGTCTTTGAACCCCACAACTATACTGTTTTGTCCCCAGCCGCAGTGCAGTCTTTGTTAAACTATACAGCATGCCGGTTAGTTTAAGAGTGAAATCATGCTAGTTATTATGTTTAATTGCAAACATTTGTGCTAAATTTGCAGTATCGGTCAAAGCTGCTGACGTTTTTATTTAAATATGTACTGAGGTTACTTAATCTGGGCTGGGGTTTTTTATACGTACTGTAAGGAGATACATAAATGTGTGCTATTGCACCATTTAAAGAATATAAAATCACATGTGAGGAATAAGAAATAACTTTCATGTTTTATTTCAGGACCTACTGAAATGTTTGTGGTTTTTTCCAATGAGAAATCAGTAGTCACTGTTTTTGTAGGTTTGTTTCAATTTGTATGTCTCTTTGTATGGTTAACGTGTTTGTTAGTTACATTTTTAAACATACAGTAAGAGAGAAAGGGATGTACAGAAGTTAAATCCATTACTGTTCCTCACACTGTACAGTGTCATTTAAATAGCAAAGTAACTATGAATAACCTCAAACATATTGTAATTGGTCTGTGCAAACAATGTGTACAATAGCATATTCAGTCAAGTGCATGCATGGAACATCCTGTCTTGCAGTTTAGAAACGACTGCTCTAACTTCTTGTGCACAACAGTCAATGTCAATGTGCTGTGTTTCCTCACACAGTGAAAGGTTTCTTCTCTTTCTTTCTCCTCACTGAATCCTAAAAGGATCTCCCTCCTCTTAACTGTCCTGGAAAAAGGCAGCAGGGACACAGGGTCGGGAGTGGTGGAGAGTTAGTGAAGGGCGAGGCATCTTTAAAGGAATAGAGGGCAGAGGGGTCACTGTGGCTCGTGCACGACTCTGAGACTGTCGACCCTGCTGACAGAAGAAAAAAAGACGAGTAAACAAGATGAACAAATAATTCTGAACAATGATTAAACGCTGTCACAGTTTTCATACTTTTTATAACTGCAAATTTATAAAAGCTCAACCAAACCAATGACTACTATTTCTGTTTTCTAAAATGCGATTTTGCTTCTCCTAAGTACAGTACTTTGCATTCAGAAAGTATTTACAGTGATTCCAGTTTTGTTATGCTACAGCCTTATTTTAACATTGAGTCAATCATTATTTTCCTAAAATTCCACAACTAATATCCCAGAAAAGTAATGTGGAAGAAGATATTTTACTGTAAAGAAGTCTGAAGACTTTACAAATGTTTTAAAAGCAAGCTTGTTTCAGTTGGTACCTAATCTTGTCTATGCCATTATTATGATCAAACTACTAAAGAAAATTACAAGCCTTTCCAGCAAGCACAGGACATCAACATAATGTCAGATTGATGTTGTACCCCAACATCATGGGAAGGTTGCATTTTGTTTTGAAATGAAAATCGCATTGACGTCCATGTCCAAGTACCAACCTAAAATCGACTCAATATCAATGTCTAGTGATGTTACAACTTGACGTTGTGTGGAATTTACCACTATGACGTCTGGGTTGAATGAGTACATGTCAAAGTTACTCTATATTCATGCCTTACAGACATACAAAACATCAATCATGAAAAGACTATATATACCATAGATAGATGGACAGACAGACAGACAGATAGAGAAAAGATACATGCTGTCTGTCAGCTAGCTTTCTGTGTGTACACTTCAGATGCATGCGACCAGAATACAATTTTTCAGGACTCAGAAGTTTTGTCTACCGGATGCAACGGCCATGCAACAACAGCTGATGTCTACTGGACACAACAACAGGAACATTAGAAAGGAACATTCTCGTTTACCAGAGGTACATCCAAAAACAGGGCATTAGTTTTTCTGTCTGGGATTTGATGTTTCACGTGTTTACAGCGTGTTTATTACTAGAGCTGCCTTCCACTAAAGTTTTTCCTGATTAGTAGTTGTCCATTTTAAGCCATTAATTGACTAATCAAACATTGAAATCATGAAAATGACCACGGTAATTGCCTACATCGCCTAATTGAGGCTCAAGCACACCCATAAAGCTTTTCACAGCACACTGGCAAAAGAAATGATTGTGAATGCATAAGGGAAAAGCTTGTGGAAGCTACATTGACATTGAGCTACATAAGTAGTCATGCACTGCTTGGCTACAGTTACACATATACTATAAGAATGAGTTCAGCCACATTTGATGAGCTTAAATTCAAACCCAGTTTGAGTGTAAAAATTTACATGGAATCAACAGCTAATTTAATTCTCAAAAATGGATTTTTAAGGTACAATACTGTGCATCATCTATGGAGTATTGAGCTTAAACTTCACAGACACTGGTCCTCTTTTTAAAAAAAATATAATTTAGTCATGTGAGGTTCACGTGTTCCATTTCCACTGAACCGGAAGTTTTTTGTATTATAAGAAATTATACTGTAGTACTTTGTCATCATTGACAAACTCTATTTATTGCTGGAACTGACATGCTTGACATAACTTCTCAAGTCACAAGCAGAATGACTACGTTTCTATGTTTTAAATTTGCAAATGTGTCTATTTATGACAGTGACATCACACTTGTGGTCGGAAAATTGGTCATGTAGAGTCCAAGTGTAGCAAGCTTTAGAATTGAAACAAATTTATTTGTATTGCTCTTCATCTTTTACACTCCCCTTTGCTGTTTTTGTCTTCCTCTTGTGTGGTTGTTTTAATATTAGGCTACTGTCTGGTTTAGTTTTTTACTCTCTGGAGAAGTCCCTTCAAACAAACAAACATGCATGCACGCACACACAATAATTTTTCAATTCAACCATTTGATACAGCTATTGTAGAGTTAACACAAATATGTTTTTCTCTATATTGTATTAATTGTTGTATGTGGGCAACTGGAGCTAATACAACCTAGCTAAACTGTTTAATTATGCATTTATGGCGCATAACTTTATTTCCTAACGTGTAAGAGAGAATAACACTCATGTTTCATGCACCGCACGCCTAGTGTCTCTGTTGAGACATTTTATAAAGCAGCAATCTGATAAAATAAGCAGGTAGGAGGCAGCTCTGTCAATTCACCTTTTTATTCTGAGATTCATACATGAGCAGCCCTTAACAAGACCAAACCACTGGGGTGCTTCCTTTACACACCATTCTTGTTGATGGTGATGGCCAATATTTTTATAAACCAAGGAATAATGGACTTAAAACACAGACGCCAACTTTAACACAAAAACAAATAAAGGTTATAACAACCCATATAACACATAAAACAAATATAAACCATCTCCCATGATGCACCTGGGTATAGTGCTGTGGACCAGCTCATTACAATGTTTATTTGCATTTAGACTGCTTTATAAAATGTCTGATTAGAATGCAGGGCTTTAGTGCTGTCGCCTCACAGCAAGAAGGTCACTGGTTCGAGCCTTAGCTTAGTCAGTTGGCGTTTCCTTGTAGAGTTTGCATGTTCTCCCTGCATTCCAAACAGTCCAAAGACATGCGGTACAGGTGAATTGGGTAAGCTAAATTGTCAGTAGTGTATGAGTGTGAATGTGTGTGTATAAATGTTTTCCAGAGATGGGTTGCAGCTGGATTAGCAGCCGCTGCGTAAAACATGTGCTGGATAAATTGGCAGTTCAATCCGCTGTGACGACCCCAGATCAATAAAGGGACTAAGCCGAAAAGAAAATGAATGATTTAGAATGTCACAGTATTGGGAGAACAGTTTGAAGCTTAGCACACACCTCTTTGCTTTAACCAGATCACTAATCTATATAGATCAACTTACTGAGACAATATCATATCTTAGTTTTTAATATAGTAGTAAGCTAACCGGGATTCAGAATTGCTAAAATTTTTCCTAGAACAGCGACGTCCAAATATGCTTCCGGAGGGCCACTGCCTTGCACAGTTTTGTTCTAACCATAATTTAGCACACCTCTGACCCAGATACTAATTAATTTGTCAAGACTCTATAAAAGCGTACCGGAGGTTGTAGGAGCTAAAGTCTGCAGGGCACTGGCCCACCAGGAGCAGGGCAGGATTAAACACCTCTGTCCTAAAGTATTGTATATTAAATCCACAAAATTATCAATAATTTCACTTGAAAACATTTAATTGTATAAAACTCCAGATCTTCATCTTGTTCCTACTAATGCCTCTGTGTTGCACATAGATCAAACATTTTTTTTCTAACCTGACGCTGTGTAGAGCCCTCTGGTGGTCGACTAGCACCCCTGCACTGGCCACGGGCCTGTGCTCCAAATAGCTGTGATGAACGGGTGAGCAAACCTCTAATTCTCAGGTGCACATACAGGTTGGAATCCAGACAGAGAGGGTTAAATACAGGGTCCTTCTCCAGCTGTTCTAGGGAGCTCTAAGTGATCAAAGATTATTTTAATGTCAGTTTGGTAATAGGCATGGAATAGAAATTCTGCCTTCTAATCTGAAAATGACTAACCCTTGAGTGTGCGCAAACACACACGCACATAGTTGGACAATGAAACTGAAACGCCTGGTTTTAGACCACAATAATGCATTTGTATGGTGTAAGGCCTCCTTTTGCGAATTATATATAATCAATTCACCTTGGGAATAACAGAAGTCCTGCACAGTGGCCAGAGGGATTTTTAGCCATTCTTCTAGAATAGTGGCCAGGTCACTAAGTGATGCTGGTAGAGGAAAACGTTCCCTGAATTGCTCCTTCAAAACACCCCAAAGTGGCTCAATAATATTAAAATCTGGTGACTGTGCAGGCCAAGGTAGATATTCATCAAACAACTCTGTGAGCAGTCTTTCTGTGTGTATTTGTGAATTATCATACTGATTCCATAGTGACTTACAGTATCCTAGACCCTTTTCAGTTTGTGTATAGGTCTAAGTGAGGGGTGGAGGATGCAGCAGGGACTCTGCTACACTTAGTTCTTAAGCATCTTGACAAGCTTAAAACATTGAAAAAGTTACTTTTTATTGACTTTTCTTCTGCATTCAATACCATTCAGCCAAATATTTTGGCTGAGAAACTTATTAATGAATTTCAGTTGGATATGCTTGTAGAATGGATTTTACATGTTCTTGTTCAGAGAATACAGAGGGTTGAAGTAAATAATCGTTTCTCTGAATGGCTGTTATTACAGGGTCACCTTAAGATGATGTCTTTTTCTTCTATATTATTTATTTTGTACACAAGTAGTTTTAGGAGTACTTTTATCAATAGGTATATTATAAAATTAGCTGATGACGCTGTTTTTGTTTGTTTGTTAAGTGAGGAAGGCTCCATGCATGGTCTTGTAGTTGATCATTTTTCCAGCTTGTTTCAGGAGGCTTCCTTACAATTGAATGTTCTTAACACTAAAGAGATGACTATTGATTTTAATTCTAAGAGGAGACTGATTAAAGGTAAGCAAACAAGTATTAATGGAGTGGGTGTTAAGAGTGTTGATCAATACAAGTATTGGTTTGAGGTAATAAATTGTCCTCTTCTGTTATAACCAATATATTGTGTAAGAAGGGGGAGCTAAGATTGTACTGCCTACATAAATTAGGATGATTTAATCTAGATAAGAACACTCATGTACATGTCTTACAGTTCATACATTTCATACACATACGCTTTGTTGGTTCAAAGTGTAAAAAATAAAAGTTGTTTGGAGAACATTGTGGACCTTGGAGGAAAGATTAAGGAAAAAAAAATACAGATGACTCTAGCTGTTGTACCATAGACAAGTTTTGAGTAAAGCTCAGAGTATTTTGTCAGATGACTGCCGTCATATGCACCACAAGTTTTCTCTTCTCCCTTCAGGTATTCGATACAGAACTCCTATTAGTTAAACAAATGGATTCAAACCTTCATTTATCCCCTCAGCTCTAAGGTTTTTAAATTTAGGGTAAAATTCATTTATTTTCTTTTCGACTTAGTCCCTTCATTAATCTAGGGTCACCACAGCAAAATGAACCACCAACTTATCCAGCATATGTTTTACGCCATGGATGAACTTCGAGCTGCAACCCATCATTGGGAAACATGCATACACACTCATACACACACATACACTATGGACAATTTATTTTACCCAATTCACCTAAAGCACGTCTTTGGACTTGTAGGGGAAACCAGAGCACCTGGAGGAAACCCACGCAAACATGAGGAGAACATGCAAACTCCACAAATGCAAACTGAGGCGATCATGCTACCCACTGTGCCACTGTGACACCAGAGTAGATTAGTTTTGTACAATGCTTGTATGCTGCAACCTAATTGCCTTCAGGAAATGAATAAAGACTGACTGACTGATACATGGCACCACCTTTAGGATAGAATGTTTGAATCATTGGGTGCACATGCTCCTCTAGAATGGTTCGGTAGTCCTTGGTACTAACACGTCCACCTTGCACAATTATTGGGCCTAAGGAATGCTGGGAATGAAAGGGAATGACATTGCAGCCCAAACCATCATTGATCCATCCCTGTGCTTTACTCTGGGCATGCAAAAGTCAGGATTGTACACTTCTTTGGGACTTCTCCACACCGTACATCTCCTGTATGTGGGAAACATTGTTCCAGCTGGCACCTTAAAACAGATATTTGGCGTTTGCATGAGCGACCAAAGGTTTGGCTATAGCAGTCTGGCCATGTATATTAACCCTGTGGAGCTCCCAACGAACAGTTTAGGTGGAAACAGGAGAGTTGAGGAACAATTAATTCAGCAGTGAGTTGGGCAGCTGTGGTATTGTTTTTTGGATACAATCTGGGTTAGCACCTGGAAATCCCTTTCAGATAGCTCCCTCTTGCATTCACACTAAGTCCTGTTGGCTGTGGTTCATCCTTCTTATTGGTATGCTGACATTCCCCTGGATACCTTGGCTCTTGATGCATCACAAAAACTCAGATGCGCCAGCGAGACGACAACCAACAATTTGTCCTCTTTTGAACATTGATGTTATCCATAATGTTGTGTGCATTGCAATATTTTAAGCAAAACTGTTTTATTACTCTGCTAATTAAACTTTTACACTTTGCACTTACTGGTTGAAATTTAGCCATAATATCTCCAACACTAAATTGACCAGTGTTTCAGTTTCACTGTCCAACGCCTCTATGTATTTGTATTTCGTTATGTAATGGCACCTCCACAGTGTTGAGAGCAAGAAGTGGAGGGTCTTCCACTGAGACAGGCAAGCAGCAGGGCAGCATAAGTTCTCGTGTCATCACAGGTTTCAGAAGCAGAGAGTGAGAACCAGAAGACTGAATTACATAGTAGGAGAACACACCAGAACCTGGAGAAGACCCCGGCTCAGACTCTGAGCGCACCAAAAGGAACCAGTCACGGGTCTGTCAAACAAATAATAAATGTAAACAAAATGTTAAAATTAGTGCTCCATGAAAACATGCACATAGATACAAAGTAAAAAAACCAAGCACTGACTTTTAGTATGTGACAGAGTGCATGAAACATCTGGTTGTTTGTTTCCATTTCATCCCAGTCCAGTTGCCAACACGAGGTTGGTCTGACAATGAGTGGTAGTCCATACAGGACAGACTGACACACTCCATCGGCATGAAGAACTCTGAGACACACAGACAACAGCTAACTCATAACATTCATGTTTCATTTTTTAAATATTTGTAACAATAAATGTTTTTACTGTCACTTTTGATTAATCTAATTACATTTTGCAAAAAAAAAAAAAAAAAGCTTTTTTAAGCATCTTACAAATAATAACTATATGTTAGTGAGTAAACTGACAAAAAGAAATGTCTGTGTGAACTGGAATATTATGCAAGTGTCAAATTGGCCAATAATGACTAGGTATGGGCAAGAGATTGTATCACTGGTCTCGGAAAAATGACCTCATGTGCATGGAAATCATATGCAAAACACTCAAAGGGAAATACAATGTATGACTGTCTGTGGGAAACAAAAAAGACTCAAACACAGAGCTGTCTGTTTGATTAAAAACCTCACTGTCATGCTAACTTTTGCATACTTATAATCTTAAACTCTTCTCTTTTACACAAAATACAAAACATTCAACTCAACAAAAATTACATTAACTTCTGCTTGTTTCTGAGACATTATTGTTCAGTATAAAACATTACAGCATTATGTAAAATCTCTGTTAACTAAATGTTCACAAATAACTTTAGCCCTTAAACAAAAACCTGACTAGAGATGTGACTGTACTTGACAACTCGTAAGCGCTGTGGTGAGAAGTTTTGATTGGTGAGACTCTTGTTTGGTGGCTGGAAATCTTGCATGCTCTCAGTCTTCATTCCAAGGTCAGGAGTGCTGGCAAGCAGTGCTGGGCTGATTAGTCTCTCCTGCATGTCACACTTTAAACAGACTGCAGACAACGACATAAGCAGAAGAAATACACACACATAATAAGCATAAACAATACAAGGTTCACCAATATTTTGTGCAGCAAAAAAGGTTATTCTTTTAGAGGAGAAACCATGTGTATATACCCGGGCTTGGGCTGCTGTTGGCAGAAAAACAAGAAGGGGGTAACAACAAGTGCAAGTGTTCTCGATCTCCCCCCTGTTCATGAAGCCACATTTTCAGAGTGCTCTCCAAGGCCTCAACTGTGCCCTCCACCAGCTGCAGATCCATCTCCGTCCCCAGCATAAGACTCTCTACAGGAGGTGAAACAATACATTATTAAATGCAACAGAATAAATGCAGTGTGAATGTACAAGACTTTACTTCAGCGTAACCTCTGTAGTTGAGTAACTAAAAAAAATAAAGTGCTCAAACCAATACTGTACCTGTTTAAAAGTTTCTAAAAACATCCGTTCCAAAAAAGAAAAAGCACTGATAACACATATCCTTCTTGTTTTTTATTCTCTTATTATAGGGCCTGTTCTGACATTTAACGCCTGAACTTCATTTTATAAATAAACCAATCATATGGCAAATAGCTGTTAATCAAAGTCAATGTCTTGTGAGATGAAATTTGCAGTACTCTAAACCCTCAGTAGAGGATGCTGTAAAACCAGTTTCCTATTTTAGCAGGAATAAACATTCCACACCAACAGAGCTTAATGTGTTTGTGATATGAGATATTTAAACATATTCAGTTCTTAATTTTGTTCATTGTTAGCCATTTTAGGTTATACCTGTAAACTTAAAATAAAATAAACCATAATTATCCTGTCTAAAACCTAAATTTCTAGTAAATAGTATAGTATTTTTAAATTTAATTTCTGGCCTTAATGTAACTGAGTTTTATATAACCAATTCTGATACAGGTTATTTGCGTGCTTATGCTTTACAGAAATGATTGGCACAATCTGTTTGATGCTTTACTTCTCTTTTTAATGTATTTTTGTTTAGAATGCAAAACGGTAAATATAATCACTTCCCTAGAATAAGGATGCACTTTCCAGAAAGGAACAAAGAAAACAAATGCATAATTAATTACTAAGTCCATATTGACTGCCATGTTATCAGCATTTTGCTTTTAAGTGTCTAGATTAGCAATCTGCTGACAAAGCTGTTTGTTTATGCAGGACTTATACACAAATTGTGATCTAGCATGGAGAAAGATTACTTCCTCAACTTCCTTTTGCTTGTATGGTAAATGTAATACCATTTTGAGTTAACTCTTTAACTGCCGGCTCTACCAAATGGTTGACAATGTTTTGAATGTTAAAAAAAAACAACTGTTAAATGTCATTAAAAAGACATCTGATTTTGGTTTTATTGTAAAAAAAAAAAAAAGGAAAACATGTTAAATGAGAATCTGAAATATTTTATGTCATACTTAAAAAAAATAAAGATGATTTAAGATTCAAAACTGTTTTATTTTGATTTTTTTTTTTTAATTGGTCTTACACTACATACTTTACACATAATTTTCTGATGTTTCATAGTATATGTATTAATTTCGGTACGTTTATTAAAAAAAGACATATCAACCCTTTACCAAATGGTTGATATTTTAGAAATGAAGGGATGTGTTGAAAAAAAATTATTGATTGTGTTAACTAGCGACATTAGCAGTTAAGGGTCACACTTTATTTTGATGGTCTATTTGTTGAATGAATTTACATTGCATCTACATGCAAACTAATTCTCATTAGATTATAAGTAGACTGTTAGGTTGGGGTTTGGGTTAGTGTAAGTTGACATATAGTCATATAGAATATCCAAAATGCAATCAATTTTTATTTGTTAGTGTGGAAGTTAAAGGATTAAAAGCGATATACTGCACACTGGTAGGAACATCAAAAAGCTTGAATCCAATGAGAGAATTCTTAAATTTATAAAATCAGTAAATCTGATTTGATTAAATGGATATACCACAATAAAAATGCAGTGTCTGCATTAAAATACCATAAAATATAATAAATTTATCATAAAAGTGGTTCAAAAGTGGTTACATTTAGTAACTGTTATTCCTTTTAACAAAACATTCAGTTGGATCAGTTAGGTCATATCTGTGATACATTTATAGAATTCAAATAGGCAGATGAATGTCTGCCTTGGGAAGAACTGAAGTTAAAAAATGAAAGAAATACAATAGATATGAGCGTAATTTAAAATTTAAAATTGTTTCATTGTATTTGTTGCAAGAGTTAACGAGGAAACTGAAATGTATGTGAACAATCACAGCCACTCTCTCTGGTTTCTTAGTCCCTCTAAATTATTCATGTGTTCTCTAGAGTGCTATAGGGCCTTAAGAGGGTAATGGAGTTTCAAAGAACATCTTTAATCTTTCATTCCCTAAACTCAATAACTGGGAGAAAACCCCGATGGCTGAAGTATGAGAAGGAGAACAATGAACTCAAGCAGACAATCACCATCAATTTAGGATTGGCATGAGTGGCATTTTAAGACCAACAATATAAATGGATGCAGGTCATGATAATTGCCTTTTAGCTTTTCTTAATATTTAGAAATATTTTGTCTTCAGCTCAAATCAGCATACTATGCACTTGCAAACTGTACATTTCTGATAAAAAGAGATAGAAGGTAAAACCTTCCCAGTATTAAATAGTTGCATTTAAATAATTTAGATAGTTTATTACAAGTAATTGCTTTTTTCTATACCTCTAAACTGAAATCAATTTCTACTGAGAAACTGCAGAGCAATTTAGGTCAGCAGTCTTTTAATTCAAGATTTAAATACATATAGCTGATTACCATGAATCTCAGTGCTTCTTTTAATGCAGGGGATATTTTCAGATGGAAAGGGTGAGAAAAACACATGCATAAATGAAGAGGCAATTGACACACATCCCCCGTATCACTTCTGACACATGAGTTGCCTTTTATGATGTCATGATCTACATGCTTTTCTCATGTCAAACTATGATTCACGAAGTGAAACAACAGTAAAAGCACTGCCTTTTTCAGTTTCTTATCATGACATTTAACATTTTTGTTTTGTTCCTTAAACAGCACTTGTGCATTTTTCAGTCATTCTCCTCAAATCCAATTATATAGACATCAAATAAAAGCATGTGCATAAATGTGCATAAAATATGTCAAGCGTTTGGGTAGACAGAAGATGAGGATTTAATCTGAAAAACAAAAGGTGGGTTAAGTAAAATAAAATAAGAATAATCCGAGGGGGAAAACTTTAACTGAAAAAGGAAAGCTGGGAAGGCAGGTCAGGAACAAGGCCAAACAAAAAACACAGGGTAAGTATCGACGATGAACTAGCAAAGGACAGCAAACATGAGCAAGCTTTGAGCAAGAGAAATCAATAAGTAAACAGAATGGTGAATGCTCTGTTTGACACGAAGTGACAAAAACAAAACTTTTGTACTTACATCAAACATGACTACAACACACAGTCAATGAGAACACTTGTTTTAAAGGGCACCTATGGTAAAAAATCTACTTTTCAAGCTATTTGTACAGACATGTGTTTAAGTATAGTGTATAGACTGTCATATTGGGGTGATATAAACACACAGTGCTTTTTTTTTAAGGTAAAAAACATAAAAACGGTGGACCAATTGGAGCTGTTTTCAGAGCGACCGCAACTTGACCCAGGAGTGCAGTCCCCCCGCCCACCAATATTGATTGACAGGCTCGCGTCATCTAATCCTCAGTTTGTCATTTTACATCCGCCATTTTCAGCGTGAGTCAAAGCAAAATCACTAAAGGAACATCCTTGCTCTATTTTTAGATGTAAGGGTCATTAGGCTCAACACAAGATCAATATTCTCCACATTATCACTCTAATCGGAATTATTGGTTGTACCTTTTGCAAACGTGTACTTTTCATTGCATACACCTTAAACTTCAGCCGTTCGCATTTTTCATGTTCACAGAAACTCCTTTTGATCTTAGCTAGGTGCAGCTGGAAAAGTGCAAGGGCGTTCACTCATGTGCGTGTCTCTCCATTGGAAATAAAATAACAAACTTGCCTGCAGGTCACACACCAGAAGCTCCGCTTTGCGTGGCGCGATGCTGATGCAGCGCCATGCATTTTGGAATTCTGGATGTGGATTTCTGTCGGGGTGCATGCGGCGTGTGTTCCCTGATGGAAGCCTGTGTTCAGAGTTCTAATATGCGTGGCACGACGATTCGGGACACTTCATGTTTTTGCCGCGCCACAGACAGTGTCTGGTGAGCTGTGTCGCAGCTTCGAGCGGCACATTCGGTGCCTTAGTCAAAGTTAATTTAGTGTGTGTGGTTATTAGTCTTGGTGTACAAGCTCGGCACTTGAAACTAGCATACAGTTGGCTGTAAAACTATACAAAGACACAAAAGATTTTGTACTCTCTGCATGGTCTGTGTCCGAGTCGTACATGTACGGCTGAATGATGATCCTCTCACTCCTGCTCCCCCTCTCAGTCTGCCTGTCTGTTGCAAACACAGAGCTAGTGAGCTCTTGGCTCCGCCCCCTTGTTACATTGGGCGGGAAGCTGAAACTAATTTTCATGTGAAGCAACACGCCTCTAAAACAGTGAGCTGTGTAAATGCCCTCAACATGACACTTTTTACACATTATAAAAAAAAAAAAACATCTGAACTGTGTTTTAAACTGAACCTTAACTGGCACACTCAGAAGAACCATAATACTAATAATAAATCATAAAAAAGGGGTGAACTATGTGCCCTTTAACGGTCTGTACACATAAATCAAAAGATGAAAGCAAACAGCCACATGTAAACATGAGACACATGCTTTACACAATGCCAACACAAAACACAAGCACATTAGTATAAACACTCATGTTTACATTTGCAGTATGCATGTTCAGATCGCAGCACAAATCCAAAATTAAACCTGACAGAACCTGACACAAAGACAGCAAAGACAAAATGCCAGACTGGGAACAGCAGGGTGAGGAGCCTTGGGGGCAAAAGCTCTGAGCCACACTGAAACTGACACTAGTGGGTGCTCTGGGGCTGAAGCTGACAATAGTGGATGCTCTGGAGCGGAAGCGGACACTGGTGTGTGCCCTGGGACCGAAGCTCACACTGATGGGTGCTCTGGGGCTAAAGCTGAGACTGGTGGGTGCTCTGGAGCTGAAACTGACTCTGGCAGGTGCTCTGGGGCTAAAGCTGAAACTGACGGGTGCTCTGGGATTGAAGCTGACACATGCGGGTGCTCTGGGACTGAAGCTGACACTGGCAGGTGCTCTGGGCCTGAAGCTGACAGTGGTGGGGGATC